TGTGTTTGTTGTGCTTGTTTGTTGATTTCGTGTACTCATGCATGTAGTATATGTATATATGCATGTGTGTGTATGTGTGTATGTATATGTACATATGTACGCTCCTGCCAGTACCTCATATGGGGGTGGGCGGGGGCGTGAGAACACACACACACACACACATTTGTACGTATATACGTACATACACACATTTATACATAAAACTTACCTACATACATACATACGTACTCACCTACATAGGTACATGCATACCTACATGTGTACATACACACCTACATACAAAGGCCCCCCCACCCAGCCCGCCTCCAGGACTGGATGAGGGGTTGGCTTGAGGATACAGAGCAAACTCTGGAGGGTTCTGGAGGGGTCTTGGCTGGAGTGAAAATTTGACTGGGGTGTTGGCTGAAGGGGATTGGAAGGAGCAGTGGTTGGCTTCAGGAGGAGTCAGAATGCTTTCTGCATGCTTAGAAATCAATCGGCTCGCAGCCAATGCTGCAGGATCTAGTTCAAGTGATGACTTTAAAGCTGTTGAAATGGGCACCTTGTAGGTGCTGTAAGTGCCTGTCGTCTATACGCTCAGTTCTGTGCGAGACCCAGGTAGAAGCGATCTCAAGCGCGACCAGGGTGGACTCAGGCCATGGACTGCATCAAGTCTTCGACAAGATCACGGATGCATCGCCATGGAAGACAATCCCGAAACCGCGGAGACTTTTCGTGATTCTTGCTTGAATCTCATGCTTTAATTCCATCGCTGCGCTTAGTTGCCTAGATTCCTAGATTGTGGCCAGAAGACCTTTGGCCTAGCAAGCTGTGGCAGGCGTCGGACGACCCTACTACCAACTGTCACCAGCTCAGATGCAGTTACAGTGGGTTGGTGCGGCAAGCCACCGCGAGCCGTAGCATTCTCATGCCTTCTCTGAATTTCTCTGAGGATGAGGGCCGGGCCTCGGGAGAAGCTTCATTTCGACCCGCAGGCCGGTGCCTGTGCTAGCTCTTAAGTCGAGCCGGTGTCTCTGTGGCCTCGAGCTCGCCAGTCCGCTAGTCAGCTTGCCGCCTTTTGCGGCTTTTGCGCAGTTGCCGAGCTTTTGCTGGATCCGGGTACATCCGGGGCCGACAGGATGCTACAACCTGTGCTGCCATCGTCACTTGTGGTGGCCTGTGTCCGGGAGAGAATGTGGCAATTCGCCGGCTGCCCAAACTTTGCTTCGTGTTTGAATCGCTTGCACAGGATCATATTGCACGATCTCGTTGCAAAGCGTACCCTAGTTCGTGAGGGACAGTTTTTTTTGACCAGCCGCAGCCATTGGATCGCCTCACGTAGCATAGGCAGCGAGAAGGTTGTAGCAGGTCTCGGAGACGATGCGTTTCCCGTTCCTACTTCAGACCAGCCTGGTGACAGCTCCTCAACTTGCAGCAGCTGGGAAGTCTTTTTTCGGCCGTGCATCCTCGCGACCGCCCGTGACAGTGTCATCCACCGCCTGTGTTGAGGTTGTGCTGAGCATGAAGTGCCCGGGCTCTCCATCCTTCATGCACGCTTCGGCTGAGGTGCTGGGTACACTTAGGTTTTTCGCAAATGTAGCAGGTCCCAGGCGTCTTGGCTCTGTGCCCTGAGCTCAACCATGAGGTAGTGGCTATCGCAGATGCGAGCTGCACGGATGTCCAGCAAGAGATGCTGGCAAGAGTGCAATCACCTTCCTGGAAAGACCCGCACAATGCAGGACCTCGTGCGCGGTTTACCTAATCCGTTGCACATGCTCACAACGACGGAACTTTGGTTCCCGAACATAGAGCTTGGCTCTATTCAGATACAATGACCATCGTGCGTGCGTGTGTGTATGTGTGCACGCGAAAGGCGAATCAGGCATAAGGTCGTCCTGTATGACTCTTACTTCTCAGTTGTGTGAATGTCCTGTGTGTGGCCTCGCCTTGAGGAACCTACAAGGTTCTGCCAAGCAAGTCCAGCAGTCAGCTGGATGCTTGCCGAAAAAGCTGCCAAGCACATCTATGTACAACACCTTCGCCATGTCATCGTAGGTTGACGCCGAGCAGCCTTGCTCTCAGCCGAGGCATTTTCGCGCCTCACAGGCGACAAGAAATACACTGACAAGATGACCATCACCCTTGCAGACACCAGTGGAAAGTGCATGCGCCTGTGCTACCAACTTTTTGTTGGTACCGGCATGTAGAGTTAATGGCATATTCAACTGCGTCTCTTGTCCCCCACCGTCACTGGCGCTTGCTCGCAGCTGCACCGCTTCGTTCCAAGGATTATGGGATGTTCTGAGTCCCAAGTGTTCTCGGTTGTCGACTTCTCCACCAACTACTGCAACCTGAGGAAACCTGGCCGATATTGTGATGAGCCACGTTGACAAGCTGCGTTCTGATGCATTTTTGACGGTGTTCCCTGTGGAAGGAACCTGTACTGCAGCTCAGAGGATGGCTGTCAGACTGTGCGCCTTCGCCAGGATTTGAGTTTCCGAACCAGGCTGCGCAAGACTCGTGTCCTTGCTAATGAAGACAACAGTGCAAACTTGGCCAAGGAAGCATGCTTTCAACGTAGTGGAGTCGAAGGTGACGCCATCTTTAGGCGCGGGGTCGGATGCCAAAAGCTGCATCACTGTGAAGGTCCAATGAGACCCTTCGAATGCGGGGCCTAGCGACATTATCGAATTATGGCCAAACCCGTCAACATTTCGGAACCGGAAAGTTCGGGTCCGAGGAGTTGCATGCGAGCGAGCCACAAGCGCCCACTCTAACCCTCTTGGAGCATGCGAGTGCGATGTACAGTGGCCAGAATCGGCTTTGCGCTTGAAAATGCCTAATGTGCAGTGGGCCGGCGGAGTCATTTGCTGGGTTCGAAGCCGAGATGGGACTGAAGTGCTGAGGTGGCATCTTCCAAAGGCTGAAAGCTTACGGGGCAAGCCAAGCCTGTTGTCCCTGTCACGGAGCTCGCGACTGTCAAGATGCCCAGCTACCCAGCCCAGATGCTTCGGGGAACTTCACTGCCAGGTCCCCTATGTCTTCGGAGTGAAGTCTGGCTTTGGCGGCCTCCCAGAAGAACAGAACTGGCTGGAGCTCACCCCGGAAGTGGTCCAGGAGAGGATGTTCGGCCGTTTTGGCCCTTTGAGCGCGACGAGCCCACCTCTCTTGAATAGTGCGCCCACTGCAGGACATCCACAACAAAGGTGGCACTGTCCTCGAAAGCGAGCGCGGCAATGCCTGCACCTCAGGGCTGCCACAGGTGGTTTGCACAGCACACGCAGACTATGGGTAACTGTACTGGCTAGCATGAGACAGTAACGGCAAAGATGACAGCCAGAACACAGGTTCGAGGGGGAGGGGGTGAATTGTGGGGCAGGGGCGGAGTATGGGCGATTTCGAGAGCATGCTGAAGTGACCTCAACTGGACCCCACATCGGTTGAATGCACTGTTTATTCCTTTTGTCGGCAGGCTTTCGTCATTTCTGGGGGGATGGACATACTCTCACTTCGCAGTATTCCGACATGCTGGAGAGGGCAGTAGGGGACATGGCAGAGCTTGGCTTCGCGGTGTCCTCACCTTATTGCATCACTGTTTGTTTCCGTTATGTCCCTTGATGGTTCCATAGACTCCAGTTCAGGCACGACATGCTGACATGGCTGCCATGCTGCAGACGTTGGCGACCTCAGCTTTGAAGGGGGCACTCCAGGGCTGAGCGTTATGAGCTGTGCTGTGCGGTACATCTTGCACAGAAGGCGAGTCAGCGAATCAAAGTCAGCTGCCGTGACAGTGGTGAGACGTTGGCATCAACTGCTTATGCCCCTGTCCGTGAGGTTAGCCGCCAACCGACGACTTGTAGGTAACTAAAGTAAGGCTTCGGCAGGCCATGGCAAGCATGTTGCCCAGGCGCAGATGCAAGCAGCTCTTCATCCTGGGTGGTGACGGTGCACACAAGGGCACCCTGCAGCTGGCTTCGGTTGCTCGGCTGAACGGCTGAGTCTCAAAAATTAGACTGGGGTTTTGGAGTCCATGGTATTATAATTATCATATAAGGAACCCCCGAAAATAGTATCGGTAATTATCAATCGTCCAATCTCGCCTGGGATCCAGCTGCCAAGCTTGCCGCATGGAGGCTTTGAAGGCGATCGACCACGAATGCGCATTGGCCGCGGGCTTGGACACACCGGGTTTTGGAATCGCGTTTGCCTTGCGGATTGTTGTAACTGTAGAGGTGCCCTATGAAGAATAGTCAGATCGATTAGGAAAACAAAGGGAGTGTATGGTGCATGGCCTATTCCCGAAGGCCTCTGCAGGGCACCTGTGCCGTGCTGGCAATCCCACCTGGATTCGATACGAATACTCGGGCAGTTCACTGAGGTGGCCGTCCCCAGCACTGTGGACAACGACCTGGCCATGGTAGACACCAGCTTTGGCTTCGACACTGCTTGTACGGAGGTGGGGGGCCCCGGGTTGCAGAGCCGAGGCCACGTGTGGGAAAGTCAAGGCTACGATGGAACCACAGCTCCTGTTTCTCAGGCTCGCGACTGTGTTCAAGCTGCGTACGTCGAGGCTTCAGCCCGCTTGCATAGTAAAGCAGCAGCGACTTGAATCATACCCGGCAAGGCTGTGGCAGTGAAGCAGGGATGCATGAAAACACGGTCACCAGAGCAGGATGTCAACACGTGTGCCAGGCCACCTGCAATGCCAATTGCATTGGTTTGGTCAGGGCCTTTCCTAAGTTGGCCGATGCTGCCGAAGGTTCTCACGTGTGACGCTGATGCTTCACATGCTCCGAGGTGAAGCTCCTTGGCTTGGGAAGCGGCTTCCTGGCCATGAACGCAACCATGGCAGCTCGAAATGTCGACTTGTGCCCGGTACTAAGTTACCAGCGGGCTTATGCTGTGTCCGACGTCGGATTCCGATTCCTGGAAGAGAAGAGACTTAGGCCTCCTGCCAGAAATGGAGATTGATTTGGAGAAGGCCCACGTCCGCAGCAATCATAGAGATCATGTCATTGTTGCTGCCGCGTTACGTGGGCGTTTTTCCACCATTTGTGGTGCAGGTGCTCGCTCACTGCGAAAACGTTATGGCCACCAAGGGCTATGCAGTCATCGTCGTCGTGCCCTGAGAACCCACGAATTTCAAGCAGAGCCTCCCTCCTTAAATCCTCGTTACCTCGTTTCTGTGGAAGATGGCGGATGAGTGACCGGTGGTCGTTCAGTCTGGCTTGGATCCAACGGTCGTGGAAGTTCTAGGTGGCGGATGGTGCCAAGTCATCGCTCTTCCGACGTGCCGGTGTGGCCGTGGAAGGCCGTCTGGATCACGCGTGTCCCAGAGAACTTGACAGCTCCACTGATGGGCAGGCGACGTGGGCATTTGGCTTCGAGACCAGATCCTCGCCCGCTTCAAGGAGAAGAGCCGGCCCTTGACGTGAGGCGCTCGGTGCGGCTCAGGGGCGTCGTGGTCGTGCCTCCCCGCGATCGCCTGCAAGCAGTGCAAGCACGAGCCAGAGAGATGTAGAAGGCTCTCAATGGTTCCCAAGGATAAAATATATCGATCCGACGTACATGGCTCTGGGCTCAGATTTTCCATTGGTTGCCAGACGAGGGATTTCCCCACATGGAAGAATGATAAGCCTGAAACGCTTGCCCTGCCCCCAGGTGCGCTCTGTAAAGGCGAATGCAAACGACAGCTCCTATTGCGCCGCACTGGCGGACCCCTGTCCGGTTGAGCTACAGTGGGCCCAGATATGTCCAGATCCACGAGATGCAGACGCTCGGAAGGACCATGCGGTGCATGCGGCGATGGCCGGGTTCACCTGCGTCTCTGTGGCACGGAGCCCAGGCGGCTGTCTATCTTCGATGGTTCACTTTTCACTCTGAGAGCTCCGAGGTGCGGACGTACATGCGCTATGTCTACCTACCGATCCATGCTTGCCAGCATCTGAGCACGTGGGGTGTGTATCTGACGGCGATGTCAGGGCAATGCGACCGATGCATGGCTTAGCGAGGCGTGACACACCCGAAGCGAGTGAATCCTTTGGGCCGTTGGTTCGGGCGGATGGCCTTCTCCACTGGGCAGCCGCGATTTGAACCGGACGGTGCGCCACGTGCATGTTCATCACTGACTGTTCTGTGAGAGTCTTTCTGCTCGAAACGGGCCCCCAAAGGCCCAAGGAAGCAACGAAACCTCACCCAGCACCTGCACCTGGATGTCCAAGCTTGTCAGGCTTTGAATATGCTGCAATGCCGGATCAAGCTGCAGGCCACATTCAATCAGCGAGTTGTAGTGAACATGCTGCTCGCCTGATTCCTGTGCCAGACTTGAAGAAGATCTCCACACCCATGGTTGGAACCTAAGTGCAGAAGCATGGGATCAGCGTGGACTGGTGCAGCCCTGAGGACATTGCAGCAATTCTGCCTTCCAGCTCAGCAATCAGCCGGCTTGAATGTGGGGTGCTCTGATGTTCGAGCGCAGGCTCTGGCTGGACACAGTGACAACACAGGATTCGGCGGGAGTACGATGAAGTGCGGGCAGAATGCCAATAGGACTAGGTGAAAAGGGTAAGGGTCGGCAGGTAGAGCCGATGAGACTTGAAAGCTCATGCCGAGGTGTCAGCCTTTGTGAGAAGTTCCCGTCCAAGAACGTGGACAACCCCATCAAAGGCACCCGGAGTCGGCATGACTCCGCAGGGTCACTGTGTTCATCTATGTTCATCTCTAGGGCACTCCAGGGTGCGAAGGGCCAGAGGAAGGGATTTGGAGGCTACAAGGCAATCAAGGCTCAAGATCTGCTGCGATCGATGCAGGTGCTCTGGCCGAAAAATCGCGTTGCCCCGAGTTTGCTCCGTTTGAGTCATATGAATGTGGGCCTGATGTGCAAGTCAGGTACCGGACCCTGTTCGTGCAGTCAGACTGGTTTACAACACAGTCCCAGCCCCAACTACAAGGTAGAACAAAGATCATGGTCGTTTCGTGTGCATGCGCCAATCGAAGCAGGTCTTTCGATCGCTCCGGCGCAGCTGACTGTGCTCCACGCACCTACCTTCAGCCTCCGCCTTGGGCGCAGTTCTGCAGCTCCATGTCCTCGGGCAGCGAAGCTGGGCGTCCCTTGCAGGTTTCAGCGGACCGGACCATCGCGCGAGATCCACTTTGATCCGAAGGATACGGAGGCGGTCTGTAACCAACCGGGTGTACTCATTCGAGTGGGCAACAGCTCCTTTGACTCAGATGGCGGCCGCCATTGTCACTTGTGGTGGCTTGTGCCTCTTCCCCAGCTGGGCCCAAGCTTCTGCGGGCTTCTCTTGTGAGGGGCTAACCGTGCGCTTGTGGCAGTGGAATTACCGTCTTCTTCAAGCCGATTCAGCTTGCAGGGCAGGTTCGAACAAAGCCTCAGCAAGCGTCGTTCTGCTGTTCCGAATCATGGTCTCGGCTATTCTGCCTCCTGGCAGAGTGCTCTTTGTTTCCTCTTTCGCGCCAAAAGATCCTGAAGTCCTCGCTTTCACTAAAATTGGAATGAGACTCTAGAGATGATGCAACTGGCTCTCGCCCTGCGCCTCCCGCAAAGTCAAAACGTCTCAGCGGCCCTGCAGGAGATCTAGGGTGACAGCAAGCAAACCAGAAGCGAGATTTGGCGCGGCAGCTTGCCCAAAAGCATTACTACACCTAGTACCAACCTACCAGCACCGAAGCGTTCCTTCAAAGTCAAAACCTCTCAGCGGCCCTGCAGAAGGGTTCAGGATGACAGCAGCCCGCCTGGCAAGAAAGACGCATCGCCTGAGAGACCGGCATTGAAATCCTCGGTCGAGCTCCGCGCTATGGCTATGGCTTCCTGACTTCAGTACGCCCTCCTGCAAGCGACACCCCCAACTCCATTGCAACACATTTCGAGCTTCCCGAGATGCTTCTCTGCATAGTGGCAGGCATTATTCTTGTGGAGTCTCTTGCAATGTCAGGCCCGGGCTTGAACAACGTCATCCGTGAGATCGTGATGATGTGCTTTGCGTGCCCTTGCTTGCTTCATGCCTTCCATTAGGCTCTCCGAGTTGTGCGATGCAAAGGTATGGAATGAAAAAGGTGTACGGCATCATTGGTGGCTTCAAAGGCTGTGTTGAAGATGACAAATGGGTGGGACACTCAGTCGTAGATGTCGTAGATTACCGGTAGTCTGCTGGCGAAGAAGGCTCGTTGACGAACTGGTGAAGACCTGTTCAGCATGAAGTTAGCTTGGTGCATCTGTCAGCAGGTGGAACTGACTCCGGCCACAGTAGTGGCCCTATGATTACGCATGAGCCATGCAGCTTCGTGGATTCTGGTTTGTACAGCGGTTTTTGACAGCATCACCTGGTATTCTCAGGTGGAGAACATTCACAAGGTTGGTGGCAGCATCCTCGTTTCCGATCGAGGAAATCCACCTCACTCAGAAATCGCAAAGGCCATCCGAAGCCGAAGTGTTTACCGACGAACTGCTAGTCATTGGCAGCATTAGTAGCTGCTGAAGCTCTCGCTGACTTTGACTAAGTCTTGATGCTTTCGTGTGCAAATTTCCGCTGTCCGGCTCGAAACACAAGCTCTTTTCCACATGTCCGTCAGCAGCCATGGAATCTTGGCTGTGAAAATTTGGGATGTGCTGTGCTTTTCACCATGATCGGCTTCAAGAGCTATGAACTTGGAAGGATTCCAGCGGATATCATATGCATTCCCCGTGCGATCCTAGCCTTGCGTCTGGCTGCTGTAGACGCGAAAGTAGTGATTGATGTTTGTTTGTGCATCGACGCCCTGGCAACTTGCATCTTGCATCCGTTGGTGCTGTTCTAACAGTGTAACTTATAGCCCTGATCGGCGGTATTCTCTGGGAGCAGGTTCGGGAATTCTCTCCGGCAAAATCTGCTTTTAACCTGTCTTCCACATCTGTCAAACTTTGTCACCTGCCGCTGGTAGGGTTTGGCATCTGTGAACAATGTGTGAAGAATCTGTACAAACTGTGACTAATGTGTAAACAGTTGGTCCCAGATCTGTCTCGACTCTTGCGCGTGGTCGCGTCAGAGCCGTCAGAGAGCTCAACGAAGGATGGTGGCTTTCCACCCACTCCTCGAGCTGGTTTTGGAGGATTTCGTGCAACAGAACTTCACAGAGAGGTCAGGGAATGGTCAGGGTGGGCCAGGGCCCTGACGGGTGGCGGCGGCGTGGGTGGCGACAGACTTTATTTTTTTTGCGACATTTTGGCAATTTGTTGTTAGATGTTTGGCGGCGAAGAAACAGATTTTCAGACTATTCAAATCCGGCCCCGACCCTCTGGGGTGGGAGCAAGCACAGCCGTAGGTCCGTCCTGGCCCCATCGGACTTGAATCTTTCGAAAATCTGTGGACAAAAGCTGCGAAAAGTCTGCAACAATTTGTGATTCTAGCCCATGATGTGGTCGTCGGGTGTTTCTAGATTGAAGCAGGCAGGGCCTCCGGGATGTAATTCCAAGTCAAGCTTGATTTCGTCTCGTTCTTCGTGTGATTTTCCTGGGTTTCGCCTGGTCATGTCGTCTTAACATTTTCCTGGCAGGTGCGCCCAGTCTCCTGTACTAGAAGACCGGATGAAAAAGATAAAGCTCTCTTACCACGTCGGCCGGGGGCGAAGCAAATCTAAGTTGAGCCTCCCAGCTGCCAAGGAGTCTTTCGGGTGCGGGAGACCTGTTTGCATCTTGGCCCCCATGGTTTCTCTCCTTCCGACGGCCGTTGCCAGTTTAGTCAGAACCGAGGTGAGCTCGGTTCCGCAGACTCCTCGACCGAAAAGTGTCTGGTACCTCGGAATCCCATTTTGCCAGTCGGCAGTTCGGGTTTAGTGCACTTTGCTAGGTGTGTACTCGCACGTCGGATGCTTGTGGGGTCTCCTGCGAAGGCCACTGCGCACGCGGTTTTGGAGCCAGGCCTGAGCAGGGAGGGGAGCTTGCGAATCGGCAGCTCAGCTGAGCACATGCTGGTTACAGGCAGCATCTTGTGTCAAGCTCGGGTTTGCGGGTTTGCCGTGTTCCTGCTGAGGCAATGCTGCCGACAATTTCGAACACTCAGTGCGACAGTCCTTGCTATCGCTCCAAAAAGAGTGCTTAAGCCGCACTGGACGAGCTGTTCTGGCGACACGTCGATTCGTAGATTCACAGAGAAGAGAGTGGTGGCAAGACTGGCACTCGCTCGGTTCGTGCCTGTGAGGATTGTGAGCCACCACAATGCCGCGTATTCCATGCTCCTCCAGGAGAAAGAAACCTTGAGGAGCTCAGCTTGTGTAGCAGATTGCAGCATTCACGAGATTCCTGCATCAGACTACATGTTGGCCGCCCCTTGCAGGCAGGAGCTCGATGAGATCAGCAGCTTGAAGCACGGCCAGCAGGCGCCCTGCCGGGTGCTATGTGTAATGTTTCTGCAAGCAGCATCGGATGCCAGCCCATCTAGGAACGATGTAGTCTCGGGCTGTGTCCATCACCCAGCGGCCACGGGGAGTCTGTTGAGCCCTCAATCTGTGCAATTGCAGAAGCTCAGCCAACCTTGTAGCACGGACGTCGTCCTTGGTGCTTTCACATTCTGGACACCGGGAGGCAGATCAAACAGACGCACTTGTGAAAACTGCTCTCTCGTTTCGGCTGCTTGGGTCATGCAGGGGTAAAACTCGACGTAAGGGACGACTTTTGAGGCGGCTCGGTCGACCGCGTCTTCCCGTTTGTCCACGTATTCGTGCATCGGCAAAGTAGGCGAGGCTAGGGAGACGAGCACGGCTGGGGACCGTAGGTCGTACCGTGCCATGCCGTCAAACCGTTCAGCGGAGATGAGAGCAGAACGCCAACAACGACAGAGGGTGAACAAGCGCTCTCCTGACGAAGTGAAGTGAGCAGCATTGTCTTCTCCAGGAGGGCCAAGATGAGGAGCCTCCGATGGACATTGATTCGATGATCCGCGTTGCAGTGCAGGGCGAGGAGCTGGATTGCAGAATTGTCTGTTTGTACTGTACCTCGCAATCCCCGCCAGCCTCCTGGCAATCACATCGTGTGGACAGCGGCTACAGTATCGATTCTAGTGTGTTGAGTATGTATCCGGTAGCTGTGGCTCAGAACTTTGGAGTTTCGTTGTATAGCTGGGAAGGAAGTGGCGTCAGCTGAAGTCTCGGCAGGATGGTCGGAGCCAGCATAGCCAGCAGGATGTGGTCTCAACTTGCTCAAAAGTTTCGAACGAGCGCGCCATAAACAACTGGGCCACACTCATTTTCCGGGCGCCGTGGCTGCTGATGACCGTACCTTCAGGGAAAGGTGATTTGGCAGGAGGGCTTTTCGAGCACATCGCATTTCGAGGCAGGGGTAGGGAGAGTTTGATACAAGAAACCTCCAAAGGCTGCCCAGAGTCTGGCAGAACCTTCCAAAGTTTTGTGATCCATGTGTGGACGATTGCTGCAGACCCAAGGCATCCTCAGACTTCAGGCTGGCGAAGAGAATGCAAATGCCGCATGGCTGCAAGCCCTTCACGTGCCTTTCGAGTTTCGCATTTTACCATTAGATTGCTCTGCTCGCAGTCCGTCGGACCCGGCGCTGCAGCTGCACCCGCTCTGGCTGGGGCCTCGGGCCCTCGGTGCAGGGTTTTGGCCGCCTCGCGTAAAGAACCCGCCTTCGCCCCCACCAAGGCTTGCCAAGCAGCAGACAAAGCAGGCTCGGAGCAGAAGGGCAGAGCAGGGCAGAAAGGGTCAGGCCCTCCCCGACAGGCCGGCTTCGCAGCTGCATCGAACCTGCGACTGAACATCTCCACCGCGCTGAAGCCCCTCGCAGTGTTCCGTTCGGCTTGTGTTCCACATTGCCAATTCCGCGAAGGTTCTGAAGCTTTCTAGCTCTGTCAGGACGGGAGACCGCCGAATGGACGCCAGCTCATGCCTCCAGCCCTACATCATGCACCCTGACCAAAGCCCACTTTGCCCCGCTAAGCTCCCACCCACCAGACCCTGTCCGGCAACAGCATCTCAGCTTGCACGACGCACAACCGAGGAATCCGTACGGTGCCAAACGGCTTGGATGGGGACTTTTGGGCGTTGTGATGATCCTTTGGGACCTGGTCGTGCTTCCGGCAGAACAGAGTCTACAATGTCTTTACTTTTCAGTCGTGTGTATGGGAAGCATCACTGTGTTTCATGTTCAGCGGCTCAGGTGATCCCTTTGACCGTCTTTGAGCTGGGAAGATTTGAGGGTGCAGTGGACGTGATGGGATATATTACCTTTTCCTATTGGTTGCTGGATCTTGCAGGCCCCCGAGGATGGCTGAAATAGGCTCATTTCTGCTGAGCATGTTCTTCTTGCCAGGGTCTTTCTTGGTGGGCACTGACATGGAGGGCACGCTGGAGATGCGGCCATGGCCGATTGCGGTCGGGTGTGCCGGATGCAAGTCCTGTCGCTCTGGCAGGTTCCGTACAGCAATGTCTCAAGTACGCTCCCTCCCAGCTTGCAAGGTATCTTCGAACGTGGTTCTTTCCTGACCTGCTGATCATCATACTCGACGTGGTGTTGTTCATAGTGACCTCGCGACTTGGCACAAGTGTGACAATGCCAGCAGAAGCGTCTTTGCCGGATGCGAATTCTGGAAGCTGATTAGAGAACCACAATCGAGGGTCGTGACATGTAAGGTGGATGAAGGCTTGTGTTCCAGTGTCTTCATGCCACGAAGTGTCCATGCGCAGTTGCTGTCCGTCATGTTGCTCCTCCTCGATCGTTTTCTAAAAAAGGCTGTATCCTGCACATAACTGCACATACACGACGGCGGCTCTGCATGCAACCTCTCCAGAAATAGAACACTTTAGGTTCAGGTCCTTCGGTTTTACGGGACTTTAGGTTGAAGCCCGCCAGTTTTCGGGTAGCTTTTCAGTGTGTCGTCTCCTGGTTGTCTCCTGCTGCTCCTGGTAGTTTCTGGGTGGTCGTAGTGGTCGTTGTGCTGATCCTGGTGGTCTTGTCTTGGTCGTCGTGATCGTCGTGGGGTTCATCACTGTTTGGGGATCTACTGATCTACTCTAGCATAATGGCATAATATGTCCAATGCGTTCCGTTCATATACGGCTGAGTTCAAGCTAGGCAAGTGACGAGTGTTCTTAAGCATGGACATACGTAAGTGGGCGACGAGCCATCGCTTATACGGTCAAACCACTCAAATATGCAAATGTGAAGGATGGCCAGCGAAGCCGATGGTGCAGAGGCTGCAGAGACATTCCGCATTGCGCGCGGCCTCCGATGCTCGGCAAATTACAGATCAGTGGTGCTGGGGTGCAAGACTGTTTAGTCGGATGTAGCAGGGAGGCTCGGGGTTTTGCCGGGACCCGCAGGTTCACGTTCGCGCGCGGTGGGATGGGCGCCGGTCTCTCGGGGCTCTTACCCCCTGCAAGCAAACAAGCAAGACAGAAGGGGGCTGGGGACTGGCAAGTTGCGCA